CAGTTTTCCTTTTCGTTAAAATCTAATTATTTTTGGTTAAGATTGGTATTTGTGGGCAAGTGGAAGTGCCTTCAATTTCTAATTCAGAGGTCTGAGTTTCGAGTCTCGGAGTAGCTGACATTTCTTTAGATTTCTTTCTTTGCCAAAAAAATAGAACAGGGAACACGATAACGTTAAATTAATGAGTAAATTACTAGAAAAAATGGGAATAAATTAATAGTTCTGAACACAAGTAACGTAGTCTCAAGTTTACAGGAAAGTGAGTGACTGATTGAGTGAGTGACAGACTCGTCAATAACTCTTCCAATAAGTCTTCGATTGCTTSGCAATCTTCGAGYTAAAAATGGTGAAGCATACTAAAACTTCAACTCATTTTTCATGTGGCAAATGTTTTATTAGATGATGACGAAAACAATTTCCTTCAGTTAGGACAAAAAAGCAATATCTGTATACTGCATGATGTGCAACTGAATTTAACATGAACATAATTTGAAGCCTTCTTCATTCAGTGTCATTAGAAACAACATATCAAATTGAAGCTGTAATAGCACTTTTATTTTGGAAGTTTTTATTGAATTTCATCTACAAGCCCTACCGTCCAGAACCTTTGCTARGAGTTCTCTCAGTTTTTTTAAGGCTTATGTACTTTATTACTACTTTTTTCCTTTTTCTTTTCCTTATCTATATTATCTTATTGCTTCAGCCACTTTAAGATTCTGACTGAGAGGCACATCTAAATCGTATGCGTACCATCACTTTTTTTTCAAAAAAGCATCGCCACGACGGATGAATAATATAGCTTGGCTAACTGTCAAGTTTCATACTGAGAGAAAATTGTGCAATATTATTTTATGACACCGTACAGTTTGGAAGCTCCGCAATAATAACATTTAGCAATGTCTTGGAGCACGTACAATTAAARCAAGCCTGTCACAAACTGTATGGGGGTCTAACATATATTTTAATATATGTTATCCAATTCATTAATAATTCATAAGGTAAACACAATCGCTTGCAGCTCGCAGTTTTAAATGCCCATAAAGGTCTCCCGCTCATATTTTATATATTACTTAAAACACACATGTAATTTGAAAATTAATTAATATCTTTATATTCGATCACTAATACAGCCTTTTGCAAAAATTATGAGAATTGTCTAAATATCTAAATATCATAATATCCATATCCATATATTGTCTGGAACACGAGGGTTTGCTAGAATAATTCATTGTTGACATCGAGAAAATGTTCAGAACTACGGATAAGTCTGTCGCCAAAAAAAAAATAAACTACAAAGACAAGGGACAAAAGGGCATCGCACTTGATTACCCATCATGCACTCGATATTATGATATTTAGATATTTCAACAATTCTCATAATTTTTGCAAAAGGCTGTATCAAACCCAGTTTGTATATATCTGAATAACATACCAGTCAAATATTAGCTAATATTAAGTCGACTCTTGCTAACAAAGAGGGATGTAGTCACTTCACTATCACTTCAGGTTGGTAAAAATAACTAACAATGCATCCGATCGTGAATAACACTCAGTCGATCATGAATAACATCTAGTCAGGTATATATACCTATTTCAAAAAAGGGTGTCGGATAGAATGACGGAGATTGCATGACCGAAAGGAGCCATGAGCTACCTCGTTTTGCTCAATATTTCTGAAGCGCAATACTCCATTTTCGAATTCTAAGCGACCAACCGCTGTTTTATTTGACAGCAAATTCTCTTACGCAAAGAACTTACCAAACACAAAAGAAAGCACGAGAAAATGTTGTACGTACAATAGCGCTGACAATTTACATTTTACCCAAGTTGAGGCTAAYCCTGTATTCCCAGAAGACCCATACCTTAAGTCTTATGGGAATACAGGGTTAGTCTCAACTCGGGGAAAATTGCAAATTTTTAAGGTTATTGTAAAAACGAAATTTTCTCGTGCTCCCTTTTGTGTTTGTTCAGGTCTTTGCRCAAGAAAATCTGTTGTCAAATAAAACAGCGGTTTTTCGCTATCAATTCGAAACTGGAGTATTAAACCTTTCGTCAGTAATTATTTCAGCGTTTTTCCAATTTTGGAGATCTTTGCATGTTATTGGCAAAATATACCTGTGCAATTCTATTTTACTAAGTATACATATAAGTTGCGAAAAAAAGGTCCAATGGCCAGACTATTCAATTTGAAATGTCCTAAGCAAGTCTAAAATACAAACACCGTTTTTATTTCATAAAAGAGTTGTTTGTTAAGATTATTATATACATTATCAAGATGTTTGTCTGTTGAAACTTGGCAATGTCGGTGTTTTTATAGTTGAGAGATGATTTGAAATAGCAAATAGCTATAGAAATATTGAACAAAACGACGTATACAATTATTGGTGTTTCATTAGGTATAAACAACGTTAAATGAAACAGGTGTACAAAAAAACGTCATTATTCACCGATCAATGTGAGATTGAATACACCAAAACAGTTTTTTCCGCTATATTTTTTGATGATGTTACACAAGATGATTTTCGTGGGGGTTTTATCGGTTCTTCAATTCTTGATGCTGGCTACACGGAACACGTTTTTACGTTATTAAATACACTATTTTTGGAAAATATCAAACATTAAAATTGCAAGTAGATGGTGTCATCTTTAACACAGAGCAAACCAGAACTCGAAACTTAAAACTTAAAACTTAAAACGAAGGAAACAAGCCGTTTCACTCTTTTGTGTGCATATTTTTTTGAGAAAGCTTTTTGTTGGAAGATACATTAGTAGGCTGCAGCTCTACTTATAATTCTTAAATAATAATAATAAAAGCATTTTGTAATGGACTTTTKGGGCAATGTGTTAAAAAAAACGTTAAGGGAAATTTTAACAATTTCAGTTGGTAAAATTAAAGTTACTGCAAAATAGAGTTCTTGTTTAGTGAAAATACTAGTATTTGTTATATTACGATCTCTACGCTCTAATAGCACTATTTAACCTTACGTGCACTCAGATTGGTCAAAAACAGTGTACGTGCGGTTGTTCATTAAACCGTTTCAAAGAAATTTTGCCAGCTCCTTAAACAAATTAGATGAAATATATTTATATATAAAGCAAAAARATTCTATTAGTCCGTCCAGTACTCTAGTAGAGAGACAGAAGACGTTAGCATGTGTTCTCATTAAGTTTTGTCAGGCCAGACATGTAGTCTGCTACTGGCAACATTGTAACCCAGTACAACCTGCCTCATGGACGGGTCGTCGGCGTCTAAACCGGCACCCCCACCAGTCTATTACACTGGTGAGGAGGGTGGCATGGCACCCAGCACGACTAAAAACAAAACCTGTCAAAGCGCGAATGAGCTTGGTTAAGCCACCGGGCATCATGCAAAAACACTTGTTTATTGTGATGTAAATCTGATTGTTGTACTTTAATTTTTATTTGAGATCTTGGGACGGACTGTGCTGGACGGAGTAATTGTTGTAGACTCGTTTAGTAATGCATATATAGAGCGTCGATTCATTGTATACTATATGGCCTTGGGTGTGCTGCTGGACACGAACTTTCATAACAAACTTCAAATGCCTTTGGAAAGTTTTCATTGAAAAACGACGCAAAGAAACTATAACGAGAAAAATTTCAAAATAAAAACGAATTTTCAAGGTAAGATTGAATTTGGTTTAACATTTGTTCAAAATGAAATTCTAGAATAGAATCTCTCAAAGCATCTTATAGATATGCACTGGCCSCATGTCCAAACATCTCTAGTAAAGTTACAAAGGTACAAATGCGGCCAAATATCATCAGGGCTTCATTGCTTAATAGGCTGTATTTTTACGTATCAGTTCATCTTAAAATTTCATATTCTTATTTCTGTTTGCATGAAAATTATCAATATATTAAATAATCAATATAACGCTTTCTMAAAAATATTAACTTTGGAAGAGATACCAAGATTAGACTCTTTCCTTTTTGCAGTGTTTCATGTACGATAGGCACCAAATTGAAATTTATAATGCTGTTTTTGTACATATACAATGAATTTAAACGCAGGCTTCAGAATGCGTTGTATCTACATTATATAATAGAACGATTTCACATAAGCGTTTTCTTAACTTGAAAAAGAGTTTTTCCAGTATTTGTTGCTGTCACCTGAGATGAGTTGTTACCTTGAAAACTTGAGTCGAAAGATGGCAACTCTCATAGCCTCCTCGTGAGAAGACGAAAGACAGCTACAGAAGTAGCGAAAGAGGCCCAGGAGGCACACACAACCATATGCAAGAAAGGAATGATTGCAAAGCTGAAGACCGCACATACCTAGCGAAGATTTTTGAAGGACTTTCCGAACTTTGAAAAATATTTATATCTGTTCAGAGTAGTTGAAGGAGTGACACTTAAAATAGTCGGTTGGCATGATG